TCTGCAACTGACTAAACATGAGAGAATGACCCAATTTCAAGAGATAATCATATACTTACAGGATCAGTTAGCATAGTTCTCAGATGAGACGACAGAGCTAGCACTGCCAAACAGTTAAAAAGAACACCATTGATCACAGAGTACCAGAAGTCTTTGGAAGGCAGCAACATGACAAAAGTCACTACAAAGTCTGCATAGACAACCAGAAACCACGTCATCACAGCACAGACCATGCCACAGCCATCACGGATGAACCAAACCCTGTCTGCCATATCGGCTTCCGATGAAGAAGAATCATAGCTGTCATTTTCAGCAAGGAGGGGATGGTGCTCAATGTCCCGGAATCTGTGCCCCGATGACTGCATGGTTTTCTGGACTTGCCCTGAAGAAAGATGGAGAGACGATGTTTATGCACAAATAAGCCATGAAAAATAGATGTCAACTTTTATTGTTATGACACAGTAAGCAAAACAAGCAATTACGAATTCACATTCTATGATTGTTTCAAGCTGGAATGTTCTGTAAGTAATTGAAGACACTCATTTACAAGTCCTTAGCTGCAATTTTGTAAGTTATTTATTGAAAACTTATTATTTCTAAAAATATTTACTCTAATTGAAGACTTCTGTAATTTTTGCAAGTCCCATCTCTCCTCATGCACTGTCAGTATTGATGACAGACTATATACACTTCTGGTATATGCTATCAGCTGTTTACAAAAGAATAAGGAGATTTGTATAATCAGTATGAGCCACTTGTGTAATACACACATTTCTAAAGAGAAAAAATTCAGGGAGGAGTCTCTTAATTTGCATGAACATCAAAAGAAGCTTTAATATTCCTTATGGATAATCTGTCACTTGGACTAAGGTTAAATCACAAGTAGAACTAAGATTCTGAATGCTACAAGGATGGTAAGAGGACAAGCTGATTTTAGTACACTGGCCCAAGATGAAACCATATCATCTATTTAAAAACAAAATGCATGGAAAATTAAGGAAAATACAGAGACTGGAGATTTATGTAAAATTTGTCATATTTTCTGGTGGCAAAATCTAGTTGTGTGTGTAAAATCGTGAGGCTGGTTTTCTTTGAGGCATTTTCCTTCCATTTAAAAATACCAGTAATTTAAAATACCAATTCCCTTATTTAACCCATTACTTTAAAAGGAGGGGAAGTATATTGATTTTAATTTCATTTTTCTGGAAACACTGCAAGTTTGAGTTGAGGAGGAATTTTTAATCCATATTTTTCAGAAGCGTTTTAAATATGAGGAGATTTCTGCCACCTATCCTGTGCAAATAGTGAGAAAAGGGTTGGAGAGAGATGCATTATCTTTTTTGCTGCCTTTATTACTACAATAGAGTAAAGCTTACAGGAAGCATGAACTTGCCCATGTTCATATACAGTGTATCCAGTGATACATTACTGTGGATTAAACCCCCCAAAACTT